TAGTGTGGGCAGGGATGGGATGGACATGGGATATGGAGGGAAGGGACAGGGACAGGGACAGGGAGGGAAGGGATGCATGTGGCACCTGGAGGGAAGAGACAGGGAGGGAACACACCTGGGGACAGGGAGGGAAGGGATGGATGTGGCACCTGGAGAGAAGGGACAGGGAGGGAAGGGATGGACATGGCACCTGAAGGGAGGGGACAGGGAAAAAAGGGACAGACATAGGATCTGGAGGGAGGAGACAGGGAGGGAAGGGATGGATGTGGCATCTGGAGGGAAGGGAACACACCTGGGGACAGATGTGGCACCTGGAGGGAGAAACAGGAAGGGAACACAGCTGGGGACAGGGAGGGAAGGGACAGACATGGGATCTGGAGGGTGGTAAAAGGGAAGGAACACACCTGGGGACAGAGATGGAATGTGGAGGGAAGGGACAGGAAGGAAAGGGATGGACATGGCACCTGGAGGAAAGAGACAGGGAGGGAACACACCTGGGGACAGGGATGGAATGTGGAGGGAGGGGACAGGGACAGAAGGGATGGACATGGCACCTGGAGGGAAGGGACAGGGAGGGAAGGGACAGACATGGGATCTGAAGGGAGGAAACAGGGAGGGAAGGGATGGACATGGCACGTGGAGGGAGGAGACAGGGAGGGAAGAGATGGACATGGGACATGGAGGGAGGAGACATGGAGGCAACACACCTGGGCAGAAACATGACACCTGGAGGGTGGGAGAAGCATCTACTCTACCAAGCAGATGTCACAAAGCAGAGTCACAACGCCGGGGGCAGCAATGCAGGGATTTGCTTCCCAACCTGGGAGAGAGGAGAGAAGAGGGAGGAGGAGGAGGAGCTTCCCCCTCCCTGCCTCAACCCAAAACTTGGTGTCTACCCCAATCTCTTGACCCCTCAGCTCAGGACCTTCCTCACCTGCCCAAAAAAAAAAAATCCCTTCTCTAGTGCAAAGGAGACATCGACAACGCCACGCTGGAGCTTTGGTGGGGGAGGGGAAGGGCTCTGAAGAGGAAAAGGCAACTCCTTACTCAGGAATGGCAACGAGCGGCTCGAGGGGGTGGGAGGAGGAGGTGACATCGGCGAGA